GATTATGGTTTTTTGTCGCATACCTGTATATGGTAGGACGTTTTCTTTAAGCAATGGCTGTTTATTTCCAGGCATTGGGTCAAAGTATACCACTATGTAAAACTTGGCCGACGGTGACCTGGCCAATCCGACACCAACAAAGTTACTCGAGAGCCATACGAGATGAATGAAGGGCAATGCCAGAATTTTTGGCTTGCGCTTTGCCCAGTCGTAATACTTCACTGATGTGTACCATGTCACTACAGCCAATTGGGCCAACCCAGTTTGAGAACCAACCTTGGTGAAGACGTTCGAGCCCTAACTCGTGTTTGGATCTATGGAGGCTGTTCCTTTGGAGACCAAGAATTGCGCCCAGTTTTGGGCTGCCGTGGATATACGAGTGGAAATAATAAGAGGACCTGCACCATGCAGGCGTCTCAATCGATTAATGAACTCCACCACCTCTATGCGGAAACCATCTGTAAGAGCTAGTTTGCGTCACGACAATTTTCGAAAAGTATAACTCACGATTGGTGAGTCTCATGTCACATAAGAAAGATTAGGGAATGGATATCCAGATAATATGATGCTATTAAGGTGCAGACCATTGTCACCATATTTTCTGACCCCACATTTGCGAGGTGTACGAAATACTTACCGTAAACTACCCTACCAATAACAAAGTTTAACTCATTGATTAAGACTTTTTAGTAGACAAGCGTTAGGCAGACATTAAGATTGCCATGAATTATTTTGACAAATCTTGTTGCTGTTCAGGAAACATACCTATGTTTGTGATAGCTCCAGGGGTGGTTACTCTTCCAGTGCTGGCAGGCTTAGTGGTCTGTCGTGGAGTGGGGACTTTTCGGCCCGGTGATCCTTAGTAATATTAAAGAAGGAGTGCACTTAAGCTCAGGAAAGTAACTATACGCATCAGCCCCTAGCATTTAGAAATATGCACATTTGACGAGGGTTCCTTTTCCAGTCTCAAAGCTCTTTCTTTTTTATGTTGTGTGAACATTCAAGGTCGAAATAATTGTTACTTGAAATTTATATCATAAGGAATATCTGGAACCGAAAAAGATGCGACTGATTTTTTGAGCTATGACCGAGACTACCACTCTTTTGATTTAGCTATTGAAATATAACTTCGATCGTACGGAAGAGACATTTGGAAAGGGATCCCAGGCTCGTTTAGAGTATTGGTAGAGGTTTTAGTTCTCAAGACGTCATAAACACCACTTACGAACTTTTTGTTGTCGCTCTTTCTACATTTGCATGGTTACCTTTTACTGGTGTTGTTGGCCTTCCAGTCGGTCTTGTTGTTGGCTTTCCAGTTGGTCGGGTTGGTTTTTCTGTAAGCAATTGCAAATAAAGATAGTCAAAGGCCAGAGTGAAGGATGATCGAAAGGAAACGTGAAAATGCAGGCATGACACGATGATGATGACGACGATAATGATGGTGATGATGATGATGATTAGGGAGTCAACGGTACAGTTCTGTCCGATGGTATTATGTCTGCCTTAAGAATGTGGATCTAAAATCTCGTAGTTATCGCTCGATGCCTCTTCTCTTTATATCGCTTTGACAGTTTATGATCGAAAACAATGGAAATAACTAAAGAATTTCTCCATTTGATGAATTAATAGCTCAAATTAGCTTTTGGTGGTTCTTTGAATTCACATATTTATTTTTTATCTTTACTATCCCAGTGGGAAATATTATAATAATGGGAATGTTAGAATAGCCGGAAAATGTTCGCATAAACTGTCAAATGGATTAATTTTCAATTATATTTGGAAGAAGGTGAAAATAAAACGACATCATTTCCCGTGAGTGTGGTCCACATGGATCAAATGAAAATAAAGAAATTCAAGCGTCAGGTTGTTACCATCACATCGATGCCCACGGTACCCTGGTTTACAGCGACATCGATAGCCTGTTTTATCTTTAGTGTCCACAATGCAGCTCCCTCCATTTTTGCAAGGACTGGCAAGGCAGGGATCTTTCTCTGAAATATTTGTAAACCATAGCATCAGTAAAAAAAGACAAGTTACCTGCTAAATATTTCTGAATTACATAACATGACTTACGTTCCCCGGCAGTACATTTGGTCTTTATAGCCTGTATCTGGTTGGCAGTCAGAGCAATTCCATAAATTTGCAGACAAGTAACTCTGCCTCTAAAGTACTGCTTCGGATCGCTCATGGCACCTATCCGAATGGGATAGTGGGTAGCTAAATGTATACGTCCCATTCTCATGTGGGCAGTCTAAAAGAAAGATTACAAAGAAAATCTCTTAACAAAGAACAATTGAAAAAAAGCC